CCCTCGCCCTGTTGGCCACTCTTCGCTGGATACAGCCCAGGATACGGTTGGCTTTCTGGGCTGCCAGCACACACTGCTGGCTCATGTCCAGCTTTTCATCCCCCAAATGACACTATTCAAATCGAGGCAATCGATTTGTTCTCTTGCCGATGACACAATGCACTGGGCTGACTGTTTCACAGAAATCACCTATTAGGCTCAAATTTGCACTCCTCAGTTGTCACGATCAGCTCAGAGCCCATCACTGCAGAAGTCAAAGATGCTTTTGCTGTGACTTACCCTCTGTTTATCTATACTGACTTTCACTTGCCATTTTATTACCCATACACCTTGTCCTTCTGTAGCTCTTCTGTTGGCCATCATCTTTTCCACCCAAGTCAAATTTCATCACTCACCTCCTTTCTAGACAAATCACGATTGCTGCAATAACACAGGTCTCAGTGTAGAACCTTTCAACAGTCGGTGAAAACCTGGGAGCTTATTCCTGTACCTTACCCAGATTGTAACTAACAGGGACCACTTTATCTTCTTCTGACACGTTTGGCCCCTAGTTCCCTGAATACTTCCAGGAAATGAATGCTGACTAGATTGGGTCTGTCTTTTGCTACATGGGAAATACATATATTTGTACAGCACTTACAACACTACGACAAGATGATGGCTGGTTATCAGAACTGAGGAACCAAACTATGCAGATTCCCTTACACAGCCAGCCTCGCTGGCTACTGTTCACCTAATTCCCCAACGCTTACAGAACTAGGCTTGTCTCTGTCAGCCTCATCAGTTTTATGCAGAAGAATCAAAACCAAAAGAACAATCAATGAACCTCATCATTAGCATTTATCTATTGGAAATACAGCTAAATTCAATTATGGGTGCAGCAAATATATCCAGGACATATCAATATATTGGCAGCAACAAACAGACTGGGGGGAAAAAAAAAAAATTATATCAGCATACAATTAATCCCTGTAGAACCATTAGGAGCTCTACAAAAGTGGTAATCCACGTGGTATAAACCTAGCTCAAGGGTACACACAAACTCAGAAGAGGTAATAAAACACCTTAGTTGTGAAAATCGCGGGCTAAGATACCACCTGAGAGCAAATGCAGAGGTTCTTTGAAGGGTTTCAACTGTGCTTTAGTTAACTGTTTCCTCCCCACTTCCCCATTTAAACAGCTTAGACCTTAAGAGACACAGAAAAGAGCAGATGGCTGACTGTTTTCGTATTTAAAGCTTCAGCCAACAGCTTACATTTCTGAGGCTGGTCAAACACGCACTACAGAATGTCTCTTACTGTTCTCAGAATTGTTCAAGACCTTTTCCGTGGAGGCTTCAAAACTGACAAAGACACAACCAGACATCCACATCACATCATCTGCATTTTGCATGGAATTTAAGGAAAAAAGCTCGGAATTTTTCTTGGTTAATAAAAATAACGCAAAACTTGGGAAAACTGTGAGAAGAGGAAGAAGAGAAGCAAACTCTTCAACTATTACATTCCTGTGGACTATTGTGGCATATAAACTGGGACTGTGATCAGAACCATATGACAACATTACTGGCACTCTATTTCCAACTTCTATGACCAAACACTTAAAAAATGTGAACACAAAAATGTGACCATTGTGGCATTTTCTATCCCATAATGTTGGGCATTAACACTCCTGAAAATTATTTTCACCTCAAGTAATTTACTGATCCGGCAAGCAAACACTTCCAGGCTCACAGCTTTCGATATCTTGGTGTTGATCTACATTTATTTTGCACAGAATCACCCACTATTGGAAAAGTCGGATGTGAAACTAACTTATTTTTGTAATTGTCACTTTAATTGTCTTCAGCTAACTTCCTTCTCCAGAAAAATCTTGTTTAAGTCAGCAGTAAAAAGACTCACTTTGAGGAGACTGACAGACGCCTGTGAAAATGACAATGTGTCATGATAACATCATGCTACCAGGTAACAGTGGGACCCCAATTCTCATAAAAATAATCTTCCAAGAAAGTCAGTCAGCAAGAAACAACTTCTGTCCAACATCCAGCCCTCAGTAAGTCCTAAATGCACAGCTGAACTTACAGGTGTATTTCATAGGCTGTTTCATAGACATGACAGCTTCACTGCAATTATTGTTGTTGAAAAGCAGGAATAAACAAAACATTTCATCCTCAAACATTGTCATCTTGTTGGTGAAAGGTGTTTCAAAGCAGGCAGACTTATTCTGCAGTCAGAACGGAGGACTGGACATTACCATTTCATTCGTGGAATATACAGTGATGAGCTGCCGTGAATTTCCTCTACAGAAACTATTCTGCAACCTTTATTTAGGTCTTTCCTAGTGTTTTTAAACAAATGCTCAGTTTCCAGTTGTTCTTTTCCGCCCACCCTGTTCCCAAATCTTGAGATCAACAAAGTACCAAAGTTACTGCTTCCTTTTTGCAGTGAGTCTGAGTTGCAATAGTGAGCGTTCTGTTCATTAAGGGCTGGGCAAATATTAACCAAATCGTAGCCAACTCTGTGAAGAAGGGTTGAAGTTTTGTTTATCATCAACAGCTTGTGTCAGCAGAAAACAAACAATCCTGAATCTATGCCATTCCAACAGAAGGTTAGATTCCACTTCACTTTAACTGCACACAAGAAACTGAGTTCTGTCCTTAAGAGTTAACAACCTTCTCAGAAAGGAAACAAAAGACTCCGCAGGGAAGCTGACCATGCAGGAAAGGAGATGCAGGGAAAAGGGCAGTGGAACTTTCAAACAAGGCCAAACAAAAGGTACAATGAGAAGAATTTCCTTATAGCTGACCAATACTTTATATAATCAAACCCAGATAGATAATCCTACCACAACATCCTCTTCCAGTTTGTTAAGCGTTAATTCTGCATCCTCTTCTGTTATTTCTTCTTCTTCTAGCTCTTCTTTTGGATACACTGGCCTGAAATGAGTTCAAAGAACAGCAGAGCTTTTCAACACAGTAAATTGGAAATGTCTCTGTAAATTGCTCCTAAGCAAACAAAACATGTCACGTGAAGTAGGGAGGATGCACAATACCACTAGAGAGTCTCTGTGCACTTAAACCAGAAAAGTTAACGCGCAGCCTTAGAAGCCCTTGTTTATCCTGGACTGTCTCCAAAGCGAGGGGCAGTCGTTATGCCAAGCAGCACAGTACATTCATACCGCAGACATCCAGGGAGTAAATATTGAGTCATTTTCTCTTTCGGCCAAACCTCCTAAAATTCAAGTGTAACTCAGCCCAGGCTACTTTCTGTCTTACAGTGGAATTTGTGCACTACATGGAGGTCACAGTAAAATATTTCCCAGGTAAAAATTACTTCCCAATATCCATTTCAAAAGCCATCAGAGGGAAGGCATGAAATCAAGAGCACTATTAAACAAATTTTCATGTACTTGAAATTGTCTGTCATCTAATTTCTCCTAAGATTTCCTTCGGATTAAATACTCAAAGTTAACCACAGCCTACTTGCAACATTATCAGATACTGTTCATAGCTCCAACAGAAGAGGTCAAGATTCATTCATAGGCTCTAAAAGAATATTAATATGTTTCAACTCAAATGTCAGATTAACAGGCAGTTATACACAGGAAAATGACCACAAAAAGGTCATCAGCCAAATCTTTATTAATTAGCTAAGTCTACTAAAGGCCCAAACTCATCCTTGCTGGTAATTAATTCCTAATACAATTTCACACAATTAATTTGTCCCACTGCTTCAAACCTAGTTGAATTCTGCATCTTGTGAAACATCAAATAAAACATTTTTTGCAATTACTATGTTTTGTTTTTACAATTACGACTTATATTTGTTCCCTGGAACACAATGCATAAGGGAGGATGCTTAAAAGTGTACTATACCTTTTCCAGGTAAAGCCAGTGTATTTCAAGGCTTCTTCAGCTAAACAATCAAGAACATAGCATGCTTGCTCTCCATAACCTGCCTTTAATTTTGAGGGAGGAAAATCCACAGGCCTTCCCTAAAATACAGAGATAGGCTGTTTACTAATGGCTGCCCATCAATCAAGTTTCCTCTTAAGGGAGTAACAAGATTCACTACGCTAAAACCAAAGTGTCCATTGCACATTAAGGTTTTGCCAATGTTAATTCATGCTCATCCCCCCTGAAGCTCCAGTCAGGCACCAGAACAACCCAAGGAACAGATGCAGTGTAGAAATCTTAAAGCACCTGGCAAGAGGAGGTGGAAGGGAGCAGAAGAGTTAGCAGCTGCAAGGGAGCTAGATGGGCAAGCACACAAGGGACATGCTGGCAAGGCAGGAGCAGCTACGGGGGAACTCGGGTACTGAGACAACCGCCAGCTTTTCAACACTGCCTTGTTTTTTCACATTTTATTATAAAATACTTCATTTATTGCTGTCCTACAGAATAAATATCTTAGTTTTTTTTATCACGTAACTCCTTTAGAGAACAACATTCTTGACATCACTCACAGCTGTACCACAGTATAATCTTCCATAAGATCATACCTTCTGTAAGTTGATACGCTCTCCTGACCTTGAGGGTTTGGGGGTTTTTTTATATTGAAAAAATCCCAATAGTTCCTGGCAATTTATGCAACCTTTTAGCCCCTCCCCAGAAAACAAACCCAAACCAAACCACAAAACACCAACCAAAAAACAAACCCTAAAGAAGAAAACATGAACACCATGAAACCATTTCCTTCACTGCGAATTATACCACTGACTTGGGCAGGAGCAGGATCACAAGCACGGCGTAAACTTTCAAGGTAAAATCTTTGTCATTTATACCACTATAAATGACATTATGTGGCACTGTGAGAAGAGTAAGCCTGATTTAATCCATTTTACAGATTTTGGAACAAAACTAATTGGAACCATATATAATACTGTAAGACTATCGTTGTAACGCCAAAAAGTTAGCGAGTAGGTTCACGCAGTATAAACTTCCAATTAACTAATTAGCACAGTGCAAACTTAGAGATAGGAGAAGGCTGTTCAGTCCTTGGGAACGCAATGGGACAGCAGAGGAAGCGTGCCGTTACTGTTATTCTCCAGGTGACGGAGGTGCTTGCAAGGCGCTGGGGAAGGCAGCCCGCTCAGCACTTACAAAGGACCGCAGCTCCGAGAGCACGTTCGATATTACTGCGTTGGGGTCATCAGACTCCTGGGGCCGTTCGAAGGGACGCCCCGCCTTAGCGATCAGCCAAGCGGCAAGCGTGCAGAACACGAAGAACTGCTCGCCGGGGTTCGTGGGCAGTGCAAAGTAGTGCCTGTTTAAAAAAGGGAAATATAAAAAATGGTAAATATTTGGAGCTCCTGAGGCTCTTCCAGCATTGTAAGCCAGCACAGGCTAGAAAGCAGTTTCTTTAACTGACGTTCTCAACAAGTGATCCCACCTGAAGTAAATCCAGGATGTCCAGTTTCACACGTAACTGCAGTAGATGGTTTTCTACACGCAGCTCATCTGTTTTCCACTGAGTAAGCTATTAATCAACATTAGACTTCCAAGGAATCAAATGGCAACCTGATGCTCCTCTCTCCTGGCAGCAGGGTTATAGTGCTTCAGTTAAACGCCACCAGATCAACCCTTCCACACAAACCCAAGTCACTCCTCTTATTTACCTGAGCAGTCTCAAATCTCGATGAGCTCAGTTCTGCTCCCATTTAGTGTTAGGGATTCACAATCCATCCCATCACTTCATAAAATGCTACCACTGACTAAGTAAGAGTTTATGCAATGGATTCATTCAAATGTCCCTTGCATAACGTAAAATACTTAAAAGCTCAGAAGAATTGAAAAGTCAAAGATCCACAATGGCCAGTAACTTGTAGGATATAAGTGAGGTAAGTTTTGGCTGAGCCTCAGGCACTTTTCACAGTGCAAGTGAATTACAGTGCAAGACAACATTTAAATTTGAAAAACATTCCATGAACGAATTAGAAGAGTAGTTGATAACTACTGCCACCATCACACAGCAAACAGCCTACTTCAAAAACAAAATTAAAATGATCCATTGCTAAAGCTTTATAACTTTGCCCATGACACCAGAGGCCAGGGTGGATTTGTCTCATCTTTAATCACAGAATGGTTTGGGTTGGAAGGGACCTTAAAGACCATCCAGTTCCAACCCCCCTGCCATGGGCAGGGACACCTTCCACTAGACCAGGTTGCTCAAAGCCTCATCCAGCCTGGCCTCGTACACTTTCAGGGATGGGACATCCACATTGTTTTCCACTAAAGGGAGTTTAGACAAATAGCAAAGAAAGGTATCTGTATTTGGATATTTGCCTCTTTAAAAGTAAATATAAATAAATACATTTTGCATCAAGTGACATGAAAAATTGACTAGCACGTCCTTGAGGAGGGGAATACAAACCTACTGAAGTCTCATTGCCTAAAGAGATGTGTCTTCTGTCTGTATGCTGCCCTCATTTATGCCAGCATTCCACAGTAACCTCACGTCCCGTTTCCTTCTTAACATCCCCAAATACTCTTCCTGACAACAGCAATACACCTAGTTCCTTTTGCTCTGAAGCTCCCCAACCTCTTCCCCTTGCCATGCTCCTCCAGTGTGGCGAGAGGCTGGTGTACCTAAACCAGTGCGCAAGCTCAGATCAGGAGCATGGTTGTGAAGTGATCCTTCCACCCATCCTCACCTACCGTGCTTTTGGGTCACTTCAGAGATTAAGGTACGCAACCTGGATCTATTTTGGACCACGCTAAATTGAAAGATGTGGTCCTAATGAGAATTCAGTTCACACCCCACCCCCCAAAAACGTAAGTCGTGTGCATGCTGGATACTCAGAACCAAGCTCTTCCCCTTACAGATGCATCTGCTGGCTAAGGTGGACAAAGCTTCCTTGCTCCAAAGACACCGATGGTCAGACAGCTGGCTAAAGCCAGCTCACAGTCCCTGCGCTCGTCCTGGAGCCTCCCTCCCAGCTAAGGAATAATTTGGACTATGGTACACACACACCATCAAGCTGTTGCTTTTAGAAAGCTTAACTGTGTGACATGCTCCCGTGAAGCCTGTTTGAAACTCCTGGATTTTAGAATTACTTGGACAAGTGGATTGTGTTTCCTGAGTTTATTGTCTCCCACTAAAATTATTAAAAATAACATAATTTGTAACATATGAAACATAGGTATCAGATATGAAAAAACCAGACTTAAAAACAACGGGTCCAAGCGCCCTTACAAATACACACCCACCACATCACAAGGAACTCCTGCAGGGTAGGATTATTTTTCGCAGGGATAAACTGGCACGCGCATATTCCAACCCCTGTTCCCTACGGGGCGCGGGGAAGGCCAAGCGACTACTTACATACCGCATCTCAGCCTTTCGAGGGACTTCTCGTTTTGAAAGCTTCACCGTCACAGGGGGAAAGGCGAAGTGAGCGGTTTCGGCTGGACCCGGCCGCCTCCCCACCCGGGAGGCAGCCTTCCTTCCCACACC